GCGGAGCCGCTGTCAAACCTTTAATTACTTCAAATAATTACTCATCGCTCAATTTGAAGGAACGCAGTTACTCCCCGGGAGGCTGGACGGGGCTCGGGGCTGCTTGCACGGCTGCTCCTGCTGCTCCGCTGGGAACACTGCTCCTCCTCCCGTGTTTTTCCTCAATCCTCACCGTTTCTCCTCGTTCTGGAGGACGAGCCCGGGTGGGTGCCCAGCACCCGGACCCCGGTGTGCCCCGGCTTACCCCCGGCGCTATTTCAACTGGTTTGTCTGACCGGTGGCCGAAACGGCGAGCCGTTGCTGCTCCCCCATCTCCTCTCCGACGTTCCCAACGGAAAGCCCGGCCGATGCGGCAGCTGGAAACACGGCACGGGCACCAGGACGGAGGGATTCCCTCCCGGTCGTAAATTTTCTCGCTACATCCAGGTAGCAGAAAGTCCTCAAAATGGGTCGTTTGGATCCTTGCAAAGATTGACGTAAGCTTTTAACCATCTGGGTCCGAAACACTTAATCTCGTGCAACAGATGGGTTATCCTCGGGTACGCGGCACGACAAAGCGTCTCCCCGGCCCGTGCCGAGCCCTCTCGCAGATGTAAAACCACTTTCCCAATTTTCTGCCAAAAAAAAAAATAAACCACCCCGCAGCTGCGGAGACGCAGACTTCCGAGACCAAATCTGCAACGAGCGAAGGCGGCAACGTACCACGTGTCCAACAAGGGCGAGGAAGGGCCGGCGTGGAGGATCCCGCGCCGCTTCCTGTGTTAATCCTTGGCGTAAAGCGGGCAATTTATTAACGAATTGCAGGATGTCGCTAGGCCGGGCAGGCAGAATTGTACGATGAATTTCTGATGAATCTGGTGAAATTCAGGCTTACTGTTCACTTTTGCCGGGCGGAGAAGCCGTCTTTTTCTCTTCCATCGGCAAAACTCGTGGTACACAGGGTCAAAGAAGCGTTTCCACAAACGGGTTTTGGGAGCAAAAGCAAATTCCAGTGGAAGCAGCTCCTTCGGCTTTGTCGCCTTTGTCCTGCTCACACTCCCTTGCACAAGCGTTTCCTACACCGGCAAAAAGCAACGGACCGGGACATTCGAGCACATCGCAGATGGGGTTTCCACACCAAAATTATAGAAATTAGACACATATAATAGTTCAAAAAAATCACTGTGCAACTCCTGAGTCATTTCCCCCGTTTCCTCCTGCAGATCAGCTTCATACCTTTAAAATTAGGCTCTAATTACCTTAAAAAAAAAAAGGCGGGGGGG